CCCCCCCCCGGTCCCCCCCCCCCCCCCCGTGTCCCCCCTTCGGTCCCCTTAGGTGGCTGTGGCCCCTCCTGTGGCCCTTCTCGGGGGGTTGGTGTCCCCCCGTGTCCCCAGGGTTCTTATGGGCAGCTGTGTTCTGGTGTCCTCATATCCCTTGGTCACCATGTCCCTGTGTCCCCACATTCCTTGGTCACCGTGTCCTCATGTCACTGAGTCCCCAGGTCTCCAGGTCCCCTCTTTGGGTCCCCAGCTCCTTGTGCTTCTGGGTCCCTGTGGGCAGCCATGTCTTTTGTCCCCGGGTGTCCCCACATCCCTTGGTCCCCATGTCCCCATGTTACTGGGTCCCCATTTGTCTGGATCCTCATGGGCAGCCATGTTCCTTTGTCCCCTCCACGTCCCCAGGTCCCCATGGGCAGCTACGTGCCCATGTCCCTGTGTCCCCATGTCCCTTGGTCTCCATGTCCCCATGTCCCTTGGTCCCCACATCTCTGGGTCCCCACGCCTCTGGGTGCCCATGGACAGCCGTGTCCCTTGTCCTTCCACGTTCCCCCTGTCTCCCCCACCCCATGGGCCTGCTGGTGACCAGTGATGATGACCCGCAGGCCTCGGCGAACCAGCGGGCAGGCCGGGCAGGACGGGTGGCTCCTGGGAAGTGCTTCCGCCTCTACACAGCTTGGGCCTTCCAGCATGAGCTGGAGGAGACGCCGGTGCCCGAGATCCAACGCGCCGACCTGGGGTCCCTCGTCCTGCTCCTCAAGAGCCTCGGTGAGACAGGGATGCTGTGGGGTTGTATTACATATTTTGGGGTCTAAAGGGGCATCTTGGGGAGCATTGGGGCATCTTAGAGGATATTGGGGCATCTCAGGAGGCATCTCGGGGGGCATTGGAGCATCACAGGGACCATCAGGGCATCTCAGGAGGTATCTCAGGGACCATTGGGACATCTCAGGGGGCATTGGAGCATCTCAGGGACCATCAGGGCATCTCAGGAGGTGTCTGAGGCGCCACTGGAGTATCTTGGGGGCCATCAGACTGTCTCAGGAGGCATCTCAGGGGTCATTGGGGCATCTTAGAGGGCATTGGGCCATCTCAGGGACCATCAGGGCATCTCAGGAGGCATTGTGGGGGGCATTGGAGCATCTCGGGGACTATCAGGGCATCTCAGGAGGCATCTTGGGGGCATTGGGACATCCTAGGGGCTGTCAGGTCTTCTCAGGAATTACCTTAGAGGGTGTGGGGGTATCTCAAGAGGTATTTTAGGGAGCATCGGGGTATCCTGGGGGGCACTGGGACATCTCAGGAGGCATCTCGGGGGGCATCAGAGCATTGTAGGGGCTGTTAGGCCATCTCAGGAGTGATTGAGGCATCTCAGGGTCCCTCAGGGCTTCTCCGGAGCTATCTTGGAAGGGATTGGGGCACCTTAGGGAGCATTGGGGCATGTCAGGAGGCATCTTAGGGGACATTGGGATGTCTTAATGGGTGGCAGGGCATCTCAGGAGGCACCTGGGTGGGCATAAGGGCATCTCAGGGGAGATAGGGGCACCACAGGGGACATCCGGGCGTCTTGGGGACCATTGGGACATCTTAGGAGGTATCTCAAGGGCATCTTGGAGGCTCTTGGGGCATCTTGGGAGCATCTTGAGGGACATTTGGGGACAAGGGGAACCTCAAGACATCTTGGGGCAGGGGCACAGCTCAGGGCCTGGGTGACATTGGGGACATTTTGGGCTGTGGGGGACACCCTGGGGTACCAGGAGAGGTCTGGGGTGGCCCTGGGGTGACAGCGGGTGATGTCCCTGTCCCCAGGCATCAACGACCTCATCCACTTCGACTTCCTGGACCCACCACCCCACGAGACGCTGGTGCTGGCGCTGGAGCAGCTCTACGCCCTGGGCGCCCTCAACCACCTGGGAGAGCTCACCACGGTACTGGGAGCACTGGGAGGGACTGGGATGGTGGGTCCTGGGTGCCTTCAACCACTGGGTGAAGCTCACCACGGTACTGGGAGCACTGGAAGAGGTTGGGATGGTGGTGGTGAACCCCACGGGTGAGCTCACCACGGTACTGGGAGAGACAGGGACAGGTGCTGAAACCCATGGCTGAAGCTCACCATGATACTGGGAGGGACTGGGATGGGGGCCCTGGGTGCTCTCAACCACTGGGTGAAGCTCACCATGGTACTGGGAGCACTGGAAGAGGCTGAGATGGTGGTGGTGGACCCCGTGGGTGAGGTCACCATGGTACGGGGAGCACTGAGTGGGGTTACTGGGAGCACTGAGTGGGGTTACTGGGAGCACTGGCCCTGACACTGTCCCCTCCCTGTCCCCAGCTGGGCCGGCGCATGGCGGAGCTGCCGGTGGAGCCCATGTTGGCCAAGATGATCCTGGCCTCCGAGCAGTGAGTGTCCTCGTTGGTGTCCCCACGTGTCCTGGTGGTGTTCCCTTGGGTGTCCCCTGGCTTGTGCCTGGGATGTCCTCTGGGGTGTCCTGGGTGGCCTCATGGTGTCCCCAGTTTGTCCCTAGGGGTCCTGGTGGTGTCCCTTTGGGTGTCCCTGGGTTGTCCCCAGGAGGCTTGGTGGTGTCCCCAGATTGTTCCTTGGGTGTCCTTGTGGTGTCCCCTGGCTCGTCCCCGCGTGTCCTCGTGGTGTCCCTGGTTGTCCCCTGGGTTGCCCCAAGTGTTCTCAGGTCATTCTCCTCCTCATGTCCCCCTGCGTTGTCCCCAGGTGCCCTCCTGGTGTCCCCCTGTGTCTGCAGGTTGTCCCCAGGAGTCCTTGGGTTGTGCCTTGGTGTCCTGGTGGTGTCCCCAGGTTATCCTTGGGCATCCTCGTTGCATCCCCATGTTGTCCCCAGATGTCCCAGTGGTGTCCCCATCCCTGACCCCCATCGGGCACCTACCAGGGGGTGGTGCCACCCCCCCTACCCGATCCTGGGTCCCCGCGGTGACGCGGTGACATCAACCCCCCACCCAGGTACGGCTGCACAGAGGAGGTGCTGACGGTGGCGGCCATGCTTTCGGTCAACAACGCCATCTTCTACCGCCCCAAGGACAAGGTCCTTCACGCTGACAGCGCCCGCCTGGGCTTCCATGTCCCCGGGGGGGACCACCTCGTCCTGCTCAATGTCTACAACCAGGCACGAGGCGA